GCTCTGGTTGCCTCTGGTCCCCAACAGTGCCCTGCCCTGCTTTTTTATACTTCGCTTTTTTTAGACCCCTGGATATCCAGGGGTCTAATTTTCTCCCTGCACCACAAGTTTGCAGCACGGGGAACATTTTTTTTGTTCCCGCACATGCCTGTTGCCCCTCCTCAAAGGGGTTTGAGGCAGGGCAAGGGGCACGTGCGCGCTCGTGTGGACGCACCCTACAAGCTCAATCTATTTAACTTGCATTGGGGTGCAGATGAAACATTGGAAATATTTCAAAGTAAAAAGGGGTTTGAAATATTTTTAAAAATGTAGTGTTTCAGCTGTGGGCAAACATACAGACCCCTGTCATGCCTCCATGCTGCAGGGCTTCAAAACTGGCCACAGTCCTGTGGCATCCAGAGTCTTGGGAGCCCCAGTGGTATCTTCAGTGTCTAGAGTGGCCAAAGTGTTCATGGCACTGGGAGCTGCGATAGCACCCGAAGTGCAGCCAGGGGTGGTGGCCAGCATGCTGAGACGGGTGGCCAGAGTACCCAGTGGCCCCCAGAGTGCTGAGTGATGATGGCACTGCCTGTGGTGGCCAGAGCACTGGCGATGTCCATCAGGAAAGCTTTATGGTCTCTCTTTTTTTTTAATCTTTAATTATTTAAGGCCAGGAAAAGGATTAAGAGATTAAATGCCGATTTCATAGAAACAGGCCTGCAAGTTTTCTAATCAAGTTTTTCAAATAAACAATAGCAATTCATTTTTTTAATAAAAAGTTGTGTGCAAATTCCATAGACTTCTTCAAAATCGCTAATCTTTCGCAATTTTTTCATATTTTTACTTCCTGTTTTGATTGAAAATATTACTGCAGCTCCATGTTTAATAAATTAAAATATTTCAAAAATGATTTTCCTGATAACGTAATGGAAGCTTGGGGGGAAGAGGGTGGGAATTAAAAATGGCTGTTTCTGAAACCCGAAACTAAAACAATTGTGAAATTAAAAAAAAAATCGTTAAGATTTCCAGGCGTGTTGGTTGTAGCCATGTTGGTCTAAATACACAGGCAGACAAGGTTCTTTGAGTAAATGTGGTATCTTTTATTTGGTCTTTAATAATCTTTTATTGTATTTTATTTAGCTTTATTTATCAGCTATTCAGTTGGTCTAATAAAAATATCCAAACAAGATTTGCAGAAATTTATGAGTACTGGGTGAAAAAAAATAACAACACTATATCCAAGTGACTTGGGATTTAAGTAAACTAAATCTGAGTCTGAATCCTTAGACCTTAAACATCTGTTGCTTTTTAAAATTACACTCCAAGGAGGTGGGGTATTGTATTGTATGCCAGACCAATTCTTTTCCTTTGCTTTCTAGCTCCAAAATCCCATCTATTGCAGCTGGTGTTGTTGGAAGTCTCCTTTGTTTGGTTGTGATTGCTTTGGGCATTGGTCTTTACCTACGGAGGCGGCATATTGTTAGAAAGCGTACACTGCGCAGGCTTCTTCAGGAGAGGGAGGTAAGTTTTGCAAATAGTTCCTAAAGATGTTGGCTGGGACTTACCTGATAAATTTGCTGCATTATGTTAGCATGGGCTGTTTCACTGGGTCAGAACATGGCGTTTCTGACCTCACCACTGTAATGAAAGTAAAATGAAGTACAGCCTCCTTATAACAAACCCTTGTAGGCCAGAGAGAACAATTCATTAAAACAGGGTGTTCACTGTTACAGCATTAGCCAATTTGAATTTGTTAGTCCAATCATAATAAAATGGTTCTTGCTATTGGGATTAAGTGGTGGGCTGTTACAATAAGTAAGGTTCATACTTATGAGGTTGTACTATAGCACATCTGCTTCTTAGCTAAATAAGACTTTGTTTTGGATAATGGACAGTTCTACCCCAAAAAGCAATTGTTTACATATAAAACATTCTTACTTTATGTCCTATCTGATCTCTGTGGATATAATTTTCAAGAACGTATAGCTGGTTTAGGAGCCTACGTTCCATTGAAAATCGTTAGGTTTTTGACCTTGTCTACATGGAGGGTAAGTTACTCTATAGGCACGATGAATTCACAGCATGTTAAATACCCTGCACTGTTCTCTGTATGGTCACTCCTAGGGTGCCCTTGGTGGGATAGTTCACAGCAGTCTGCAAGTAGGGTAAGGGAATTATTGTGGAGTAACTACTGCACCGTAAACCCATGTGGTAACTTCGCCATGTCGACAAGCCCTTATGAATATTAGGTTCTTCTGCAAATGTTACCCTGTTTTATATACAATCTACTTTTTAACACAACATACTGATAGTTCACTACTCCTGTAAGTGTTGCAGGACCACCACAGCCCAGTGAGACTATAATGGTCTCTACTGTGGTTCGCTCGGCTCAGCAGCACTTAGTGGACTGAATTTTCAGTTGCAAAGCCAGTGCTGCCTTCAGTTACCCTGTGCCAGTCATCTCTGTCTCTGGAGTACCACTGCTCGTTAAAGCTGAGAGATGAGCAGCGGAAAGCATATCTGAGCAATGTGTGTTACTGGCTACAGTCCTTTCTTCCCTTCCCAGTATTTAGCAGAATTTGCTGATTCATTGGAATCTGACATGGGCGCATCATGAGCACTTCTACTATGGCCTCGAAAATGCAATCTCTGGGCTGCCAACCGTGCATCTTAGCGCCCACCCACCCCAGCCCCCACCGGCTACAGTAGGCGCAATGCAAGGAATTCTTGCTTACACCAGTCTCTCCACGTGGAGTGTCATCCTGGTTATAAAAATCTCCCCATAGGCGGCATAAGGCACTCTTTTCACTTGGCTGCTATATTGCATGATATAGATTTCATACAAGTCATACTGTTACCCTCTGGGTACTTTTCATGTAAAACACCAGAATGCATTACCCAAGATCAAAAACAAATCTGTTGTGACTATTCCCTTTATCTTTCCAATTCAATTTTAATAAGCAAATTGTAGTCAAAGAGCTGCTAAGGACCCTGCTAGTGTCTCCTCTTCCACTCACTTGTTTTGCAAAATCCAAAGTGATTAAAAAGTGATAAAAGCCCTGAGGCTGCCCTACTTTTCACTCCATTATCTAGCAACATTTTATGAGCTGCCATCTTCTATAGCTATAATGTTGTAGTGCAGATTGTGCTTCAGTTCACATAGTGCGCTTTGTGCTCCTCGAAATGAGAATCTTGAATCACAGCATGAAAGTAGTTGGCATGCAGGAAACAAGTTTGCATCCAGCCAAGTATGTGCTTGCTTTTAACAAAGCTGTTCAGGGAAGGAAACAACAGGATGGTTGTTAAAAGAGAAAGTTAAAGATTTGAAAAGTGCCGAGGTTCTGCCATTTAAAGGGAGGTTTTTTGTTTGTTTGTTTGTTTGTTTCTTTTGTTGTTGCTGTTGTTTTCCTTATTCCTTTCCAACAAAATTCTTATGAAATGCATAAAATCCAGCAGTGAACCTCAAATTCCCTTTTGCCTTTAGAAATGGAGGGTCACCTGAGCATTTCCAGTGTTCTCCATAATAACCTGTAACACAGGAGCTACCTCCAATAATAACACAGTGGCTTTTTCTGGTGTAATTGAGGTGAACTGCAAAGGCGAAATATTCTTTTAAAATAATCTTTTAAAATGTAGATAATGCATTTCTGACTTGGTTCATTTCTAAACTTCTGGTAATAAAATTAGCCATCATTGTGTGCCTTTTTAAAGGATCTGAAGTCATTATAATCTTTCTACTTTCTCTCAATTTGTTTTGTTTCCATTTGTTTCACATTTAGGAGATGGTTGTGTACAAATCTGGAGTAATACTTCTATGGAGTTTATTTTGAGGGATTTACATCTATGCAAATGTGGAGTAATTCCACTAAAACTGGTATACACTCAAGATTTTCAGAGCTACCAATCAGAGCCAAATTGCTCTGCAAGACACGTCATGGGGAATGAAATGTACATTATTAAAAACAAAGCCTTTGGTTCAGTGTAGAGTGCTTGTACTTCTTGCTAGCCTCCTGTACAGTATATTTTTGTAAAGTCCTTTTCTTTTGTATTCGATAGCTTGTTGAACCTCTAACACCCAGCGGGGAAGCACCAAACCAAGCTCATCTGAGGATTTTAAAGGAAACAGAATTTAAAAAGGTCAAAGTTTTGGGCTCTGGAGCTTTTGGTACTGTTTATAAGGTACAGCCACTGTGTTACTCTAACCCTCCTCACCTTCACACAAAAAGCTGTCTAAACATGTGTGCCTAGAACTGAAAACAGTTACAATTTTTCGACTGACTTTCAAGTCATCCTTTAGCTGGAGTCCAGTGAACATGGGCATGGGAATCGGTGTCTGAGAACATAAAAAGTTCTTCAGAAGATTTTGAGAGAGACAGTGCTGAAGACCTGTCTGTCTAAAAAGTACTGCTGACAGAAATGTCTTGTTTTGTGAATGTTATGGAAAAAAGAAACCATAGGATATCCCACTTGGGGTTCCATGCCAGGCAATTTTCTGTTACATACTTTAGTTCTTCCTTTTTTTAATTCATGGATCATTTAGTTCTTCCTTTTTTTTCATTCATAGATCATTTATTTTTAGATTCCAAAGAACTGCACAGGAGCATAGAAGGGACAGTTTGTTTTTCGTTCCCTTTTTGCTCTCTCTGTTCCTCTTCTACTTGAGAGGATCTCTCTAAAACATTTCCTACTCAGTGAGTAAGCCTTAGGGTTCACATTTTACTTTTGGAACTGAAATTATAAGATATAATTTATCCATTTTTAATTTTAGACACTTGGGCAGTTTTTCAAACTGTCTTAAGGACTTTAGGAACACAAGCTGTATTATCTTTAATTGGCAGTTTTTCGTCTAAATCTCTTTGGTACTGTCATTGATTCCTGCGCCCCTTCCCCCCACCCCCTTTTTAATCTTGGCCTCTACTTAACTGGCAGCCTAATGCTGTCAATTAAGAACAAGAAACCATTGTAACATGAATTTAGTGCTGAAAACTAATGCTAAAAAATGGAATGTCATATAATTCTCCCATCAGGTTAGCTGCTGTCTTGTTTCATAGGAGAAAATCCCAGTTTTTCTCATTTAGCAGTTTGTAAATTGGAAGTGACGCTTTAGTCAACGTAGTGAAAACTTGTTCAGCAGAGACTAGTAGTGTTCAGTCATGGCAAATTTGCATGTCCAATTGCCATAATTGTTAGCACTGATTAGGTAATTGTCAACACAGATGGAAATTTTGTTGAGTTTTCTGTACTTTTTGCACATGTGAATCAAGGTGACTGAATATGCATGTTTTTGAAAACAAGGCATGAGATTGAGAGATACTGCTCGATTAAGATGACGCTGTGCAGCCCACCAGAGACATTGAGTGCTGTATATATCTACACAATCTTTGTAGGCTCTCCTTTCTGCTTAGAATATTTAAATCTACTTAGACTGCATCAACCTTTTACATGGTGGTATGTTTAATCATGACAGCAAACCAGTGAGAGATGCACCTTAGCAACCTTTCTTATCTTACAGGGACTCTGGATTCCTGAAGGAGAGAGAGTTAAAATTCCTGTTGCTATTAAGGAATTGAGAGAGGCTACATCGCCAAAAGCCAATAAGGAAGTACTTGATGTAAGCTTTTGCCTTTATTTTGTAAAGTTTTCTTGATCTTGGTAGCGATTGTTCCCATCAGCCCAGAAAGTGTTTCCCTGACATGTACACAAGATTGATGACGACAACGATGATTCTACATTTATGTCAAGTTCGCAGAATTTTTTGCTGTTGCAACGTGGATGTTTCATATGTTTCTGATTGGCAGTTTGGGATTACATCAGGGTGTGGAGAAGAACAAGTGTGCAAATAATTGAAGGGTATCAATGCTAAACAGGGGAAAATGGCATAGGAGTGGGAAATAGAAAAAAGAACTGTCTATGCTTCCTTAATCAGTCAATGGAATTTTTATGATGGATTGCAGTGGGGGCAGAAAACTGGGTGCGTTTTGAAAATCCTACCTTAGAATAGCACAAGCAAGACTGGAATGGAATGTAAAAAGGTAAAGGTCAAAGTTTAAGTATTCACAAAAACCTGTCAACAGTGACATCCATAACACAATCACCTAGACACCCAAGAGAAAGTATAGAAGTTCAGTCACTTGAGCTTTTTGAAGAAAGAATGGACAAAGCACTGGAGAACAATACCGTGGTATAGTTTGTCCTTCTTGTCTCAACCACACCAGCCAAAGCCTTCTTCCCACATAGGAGGATTGCATAAACTCTGCAGCCACTCTGCAGGGAAACAGTGTCTCCCACAGCTGCCTTCATGCACAATCATGCATAGTGCTAAAGGAAGTATTAAAACTGTAACTTTAAAAATGAGAGACTTGTATGCATAATGCTTTAAATGTGCTTGGACAGGAGCCAGCTTTCCGTGGCTCACAAGCAGAGCTGGTCTGTTTAAAGACTCTTTCCCAACCTCTCAGGAGCTGTCTACACCTTCATGTTAGGGGAAGGATGCTGCACCTAGATCAGTTTTGCTTGCATGAGGCACTTCCCTTGCAGAGCAGCAGGAGACCAGAAGATGAACTTTCATTCGTAGAATGTTCACCTGCTTCCTGGGGCTGCTGCTGCCCTGGAATGGGGGTAAACCTTATTCCCCAATCCTTAATCTGATGAAGGTGCTGAGAAGAGTTTGGCCCCTCGGTCTTTAGAACTCAGGCAAAAGTACAGATATATAGACCCCATGTCAACAACTTTGCTCTGGGGTCCACTGCTAATTTTGCTCAGCTCCCTGAGGCACTGGTGTGCCCATTATATGGGTGCACCCTGATCACCTGAAATAGAGAGCTTAATAGTATAGTGAGGCTCTGCAGGAAAAAAAGAATGCAGCCCCAGGTTGTTTTGACTTCTGTGTAATTTCCAAATGTCAAGATATGGTAAAGAAGTTGCTTGCCTGCATACTCTAGCTCTGTACCTCCTTTCCTCCAGCCATGGGCCCTTGAACCCACAGGAGGAATTTGCAGATTGAAGAGCAAACATCAGAGAAGTAGCTGACCACTTCACTGCTCCTTTATAACTGAAGTTAGATCCCCACTCTTCAGCAAACAGCATGGGAGAGAGAGACAGTGTGCACATGCTTGTGCGTGTGTGTGCGTGCACCCATGCATGCATGCATATACACATATGTCTGTGTAGTTTAGACATCATATGTCATGAATATACATAAATCTATTTAGCCTTGTTTTATAAGGAAAATTGTAAGCTATTACAAAGCTGATTGCAAACAGTTGTGGGAAGAATAATACAAATTTGGACCTAATTGTATTACATGCATGTAGAGTAAAAGAAGGGTTAATCAAGAAGCCTAAATTACTGCATCCTGCCTTCAAGCTGTTCCCATGGTGGGACAGTAGCTGAGTGGAATGTGTGCTCTTCAGAGAAAGCAAAGTATTTTATTTTCTTCTTTTTAAGAAGAAGATATCTGAAATATTCATTTCAGATATCTCCACAGGATCTTTTTCCCCCGTTGAAGTAGGAGATTTAGCAAACAGCTCTTGCTGTTTTTAGTAGCGTTTACTTTTTAAATGGCTTAGGTGGTGGAATTTGTTCCTCATGTCACAGAAAAAGAAAAGATACAGAGGGAGGTAAGGAGAGGGGGAGATAGAGAGAATCAAGACTCAGTGAACTAAACAACTGACTCTTGAAGGTCACTGAAGCTTCAGAAATAATGTCTAACTAATCATTTTTTAAAAAGGAACAGCTAGTTAAGTATACAGCAAGTCAAAAAGAATTAGTTCATATAATCCAGCTGACCCTCCAACTGCAACTCCCATTGGCTTTATTAGGGTAGGGCTAATTCAGGAGATTGTTGCTGAATACCAAGCATACTTGGCGCAGGTCAGAGTGTACTTCAGAGATTTCCAAGATAAACAGTTGAAACAAAGACCGGCTTTAATTTGTTAAAATATTTAAAGGGACCTGTGACTGAACAATGAGTCCAGTCTACTTTTTTTCAAGAAAGCTATGCCTTGTTTTACTTTGCCATGTCAAATTCACTAGGCACTGTCAAATCCTGGAAGAGCTCCATGCTCTGTGTGGCCCATGCCCACCCAACACACTTGGTTAGCAGTTTCCCAGTCTTCAGGTCAGATCCTTGCAGGCTGTGTAGCAGATGGGCAAAGAGAACAGCTCTGAGTTTGCATTTTTTCACACAACTAAAAATTAATACAATATGCCTCTGAATTTTAACAGGAAATGGCACATGAAACAGACTTTCTTCTTTCTTCACTGTCAGAACTGGGTAGTATCAAAGACTATATAGGGATTAATAATACTCGGCCTCCTTGCACAAGAAAGCACACTATAGCATGTATGATGGATGGAACCACATGTCTCTTGGAGAAAGTGCTCCAAACGTTGTTCATTTTAATAGCAAATTATACATTTTCTTTAGAATTTGTAAACTAACCTGGAGATTTCATCATATTGTAAGGTGATTGTTACTCATCCAGTTCTGTGGCACTCTTCTGTAACCCTACTGTCCAGCGACCCTGGACCCAGACTGTGAGGAGCAAAAAGCCATAATTAGCACCTTAAAGCAGACATCTCACCATTGCTGTTGCATTTGGGCTTGAAATGGCAAACACTGATGTGGTTGACAAAGCAAAACATTGCTCAAGCATTTGGAGTGTTGTATTTTTTTTAAACATCATTGCTTAAATGTCTTACAGTAGTCTTCTGCCAGCTATGTGACATCTGTGAAAAGCTTATTGGACGATGATTTAACTGCTACTGCACTTCGTTTCCTAAGCCTCTATAAAAAGCACATCTTTCCTTTATGACTTATTTTTGTTTGCTTTGGGTTGCTAGCTTAATACTGACCTGTCAAGGAATGATTAGTTGATGTCATTCCAGATGCTGATTTAAAAGGTCTGTTACATAGAAAATTTCCCATTTATTTCCTGCTCAATTAATTTTCAAGCAAATGATATAAAAAAGAATAAGCAAAAGCAATATACTGGAGATCAAGAACAAAATAATATTAAAACAATAAGATAACTAAATATTAAGGGCATTTATACACATACCTTCAGTACCTTCAGCCAGAGATCCACTGCTTTGGAGCAGAGTTGATTTAATCAAGTCTGTTCTGCATGGGAGATGACATGCACCGTGCTGTGCAGCTTGCAGTTATATGTGGCAAAATGTGCGTCAGCGCAGCGAAAATGGCAGTGGTGCACTTTTGAACTAAAGCACCTCCACGGTGTTTTTAATTCAAAAGTGTGCTGCTGCCATTTTCTTTGTGCTGATGCACATTTCACCATTTATACAGCTGTAAGCATTGTAGTGCCAGGCACTTTTCAAAGCACCTGCAGCGCTTGCATGTATAAAAATGCCCCAAGACCCAATTTGCTTTCTCCCCCAGCTAGGCCCTCTTTCAGCTCTGTGCGTAGAGCTGATTGTAGGTATCAAATTGAACCTGCAAAAATATAGGTCTTTAAAAAACAACAACAAAAAACACAAAAACTACAAAGCCAAAAAAAATTATAAAGACAGACCAAAAGGACACCTAGATGAGTGAAAATCAAATTATGTTAATAATTTAAATCTGTAACTAGTTATTGCATGCTGCTAAATGTTTTCATATGGTCATGTTTATGGATGCCCACACTAACCAGTTTATAAAAACCAAGCCTTCGAGTTCTGTCTGATGAAAGGATTACTTAATCCTAGCCCCAACTCTAAGGAAATGCAATACAAACTGTTTGATTATGTCACTCATCTTGACATAACACATGAAAACAAAAAGCCTTACTAATCTGGCCAAGATTTTTCAGATTGGTTGTTTAAAATTAGACTTCCCCATTCTCAGTTAGGTTCTTAAATAGGTTTGGGAATTTTAAAAATTATCAGGCACCCGTCAGCTCCCACAAAAACTGAAATTATTTACCTCCTCTGAAAATTCTGCATGTATGGACATTTGTACTGAGCACAACAGCTTGGTGTACAAGATACAGGGAAATTCAGCTGCTTTGGTGCTGTTTTGAATGGTGCTTCAATACTGAGATTTGGGATCTCCCAGTGCAGTGGAAGAAATGTATTAGGCCATTGTGTGGCTAACTTTTACACAAAGTTTCTGTAGCTTATCAAATGTCAGACTTTTTTTTTTTTTAATACTGCCTCTTCCATCCAGATACTTCTGCCATCCCATAAGGGAATGTTTCATTCTGTTTTCTCTTTTTCGGGTCAGGAAGCTTATGTAATGGCTAGTGTTGACAATCCTCATGTATGCCGCTTGCTGGGAATCTGCCTTACTTCCACCGTCCAGCTTATCACGCAGCTTATGCCGTACGGCTGCCTCCTTGACTACATCCGAGAGCACAAGGACAACATCGGCTCCCAGTACCTTCTCAACTGGTGTGTGCAGATTGCAAAGGTAAAACTCTTTATAACCCAAACCAAGGAATCTGGAAGTATTTTATCTAAGTCTTCATATTGCACAATCTCCAAGCACCACAACAACAGTTGTTTGTATTCAGTGCTTTACTTTTTCAAACCACTCTGAAAGTGTTTAAGTAAACTGAAGAATGTTCTTGTATGCTAGTGTTATCACCAATACACAAGTAACAAAACTGCACTGAGCAACTGAGTGACTTAACCAGTGAATCAGTGGTGGACACAGGAGTGGAATTTGGCAGGTCTTTGTTAGTCCCATGCTAACACCGCTGTCGTGTTCCTTCAATAATTCATAATTGGTCATTCCTAAAAGCTATTCTTTTTGTGCTGGGTCCCTCAGCGGCCACGGTGATTAAATCAAATGCACATGCTGCGTCTGTGCTTGGAAGGAATGCCTTGATTTTGCTGAGTGAGCTGCACAGACATCTAGTTTTGGCTACTAAATCACCAGTTCAGATGCTCGTTGATTGTGACTGAAAGACATTAGCCAATCGTGGGCTGGTTTTAAATAACATGCAGTGAGTTAATGCACTTAATCCAATTCCAGTTATCATGCATCCCTATAATAAAAACCCTACTGCATTTGGCTCCAGTTGATATGCTTGTTGTCGAATGTGGCAGACAGCAGAGAAGAGGGAATGTGGAGACTAAAACTATATTCTCCAGACTTAATCTCTCACATTTGGGCAATGCTGAGAATATGTTACTGCTACCAAAGCCCTCCCTGTGCTTCATAAAATGAAAAAGGTCCTTTCTCTAAAAAGTAAACCCTACACCTTTCACAATCACTAAGTTGATTTACATTTTTAAATATTCAGTAAGCATAGATAAATCGTAACACTTCACAATCTATTCTCATGTTATCTACACTGATACTTGTGTAATTTTAAATGAAGAACTAGTGCAATGGCACTCTTATTTAAATTGGACAATGTCAATATGCTGCCTCTTTAGCTAAACCAATGGCGTTCAGAAGAGAAGTTATGAGCCAGCAAGTGTTATTGTCTTATTACCAGCATATATACAGAATCACGATCTTGCAGTCAGTCCTGGGATGTTTTCTAAATACAGCTATCCTAATGAACTATTTTGGCCAATCAAATGCAGATTCACTGACCTGATTAAATAATTATGCAACTAAACTAAGGCAAGGCTGTCCACATTCTGAAGGGTCAGAGATGGGAGCAGGCAGCAAAAGTTGGAAGAAGGAAGAGGGAGCTTGGAGACTCATGGCAGTATGAGCAAAGAGCGAGCAAAGTGGAGAGTGCCAGTCAGACCAGGAGCCCAGGGGCCACAGGTTAAACATTTCAGGGCTACATGCAGGTTATGAGCCTTCTGTTAAGACAGCCCTGCCCTAAGATGCTATAAATCACACAAAAAAATAAAGATGTGGCAGGGAGGGCAGGTTTTGAGGTAACATTAGGTATTTTTTAATGGAGTCAGCATTGTCTTTTATTCAAATTTCTATTAAAAAATACAAGTGTTTGTTTCCTGGAAAAAAAAAAAATGGTTGGATGCTTGGAGTCAGGGCAAGGAAAGCAGAGAGGTTGGGGACCTGGAAAGCATGTAGGCCTTCTATCATCGTACTCTGAATCACTGCATTGCACTACTTGCCACCTATAATCCCTGTTAATGTTTCAGAACAGTTTAATATTCAGTTTTAATTGCTGATGAATGAGGCTAAGTCTAGGCCTTCAAAAACCCTGAGGCAGAAGTGATCTAAGTTTCATGCTTTTCTCTAAGTGCTCTAGGTTAAGTCAGGAGGGAATGAATGCGTATTTGTCCTTTTGTGCGGGGAAGACACACAGGCTGCCTGCCTGGACTGAGGCCAACGCATTGGTGATGCATAGGGGGTGCACATGCACAACCTGATATTGGCCGTGGACCCCTTGGAAACACCAACCACAAAACCGGAAGTGCACTTCTGGTTTCGCCACTGGTGATTTGGGGCTCGGGAATCAGCCTCTGGGGGACCCCCCCTTCCCCACCCCTGGTCAGCAATCATGGTTGGGGGCACTCCCACACACCTCCCAGCGGGCTCCCCCAGCCAAGCCACTCCTGACTAGTTGCTCAGCACAGCCTAGCACCCCTCCCCCTTTCTCCCGCAGCATCAGCCACAGGCATGGCAACTGCTGACACACAGCAGAGGCAATCTGGCTTGGCCAAGCCTGGCTCCAGTCCTGTGTGAGGTGGTGCAGCCCCAGGGAGCAGGAATGGAGCAAGGCAGCCCTTTCCACCTCCTCCCTCCACTGAACCTCCCAGCAGCAGGTGCCCGCAGCCCTGCACCGTGTGGCAGGGAAAGGGGCATCCATAGAAGGAAGGAACGGGCCTCTCGGAGCTCTGGTCAACTCCAGGCAGCAGCAGCACACTTACTGCAATCACAATTCTTGTAATCATGATGGATGCTTGCTGCCTCCACCTTCAGAGCACCTCTTTCCCCATGGCGCCTGGGGCCACGGGCACCTACTGTCCGGCACCTTCCATTCCCAGAGCTCCAACGAGCCTGATCCTTCCTCCTGCAAACCCCTCCCTGCCCCTTCCAGGCCTAGGGACATTGTGTAAAGATAGAGAAATACTGCCCTACAGGCACCAGTTACCAGGTAAGTTTTAGGAAAGCTGGAGCAAAATTCTTTAGTAGTTATGTGATATGAAAAGATGACAAAACGGTCATCCGATTTTTAAATATTCTTGTAACAGAGAATTTTGAGGCAGCCAGGGGAAGAAGCTAAGGAAGGGAGCAGTGCATCTAGTTTTGGTAACTGTTATGGATGACAGTAAGATGTTCAGTTTCATTATTACACTATTTTTGTTGCTCTTGTTTTTAAGTGAAATGGAACATATGGCACACTTATGGCCTTAATAGTCCCTTGAGGCTTTGTGCACATTCCATGTTTGCCAGGCCATGGTTTGCTTTTGATAAATGTGCTGAAGACTTCAGAGATTTATTCGTAACAGCTTCCTTCCTTCTAAGTAGTTTGTAGTGTACTGAGCATAATGCAATAAATAAACTTTATTCTGTGTAATTAACTTCCATGAAAACTTCCCATATTCTGGCCTGTCTCAGTTATTCTGACTTCCCGTGTTTTTATTTTGAATTAACTAACTACTCCTTCCTGGTTTGGGAGATTTTTATATCTCAACTAAATTTCCGCTCTTGCTTATCATAAATTTTGAAGGTGACAAATTGATCCTAAAACCACTCATTGTGACAGCTCATTAGTTATGCTCTTTTACTCATCTGAAATCTTCCCATTCACAATTGTTAGCCTCTGTTTGACTTCTGTGTCAATTTGCCCACCACTCAAAACTACTCATACCCTCAACACTACTGATTGACCTTCTACTTTGTGGTTCTGCACTAAAGCTCTTCTAAGAACTCACATCAATAATACTTACGGTTCTGTCCCATCAGCACTTTTTCGTATTACATCTACAAAACCTGTATTTTTTTAACCATCTCCACCTCTAAAACTGCAGTGTTTCTCCTTTAAAATCTGTAACAAGTCTGTTCAGATCTGTTAACTAAACAGCAGGAAACAAGCCTCCTAAGGGACTACTTCACAACTTATTTTTGTTTATCTTCCTGTGCTTTTTAAAATCATTTTCTTAATATATGTTATAAGCATTGTATTTGATTAGTGCACAGAGTTGCTGTCTTTCAGATAAAGTATTAGAAAAAAGATTGATTTAAACAGCACTTGCAGAAAGGATGTTGAAGGGCTTGTGGAGAACATGAGTTCCCTGGTTTATAATAAACTTTTAAAAGCCCAATCTTGCACATACTTATGCATCTACTTAACTTTATACATGAGTGGTTCATTTTCTTCTGTTAAGCTGTGCATAAGCATTTGAAGTATCGATTAATTTGAGACTGAGCCTTTGTCTGTCAGGAGGTATCAACTTTAATCATTTTCTGGTATCTATTTTGCAGAATATTTATATTCTTCCAGGATGAGGTTGAGTTATTTTCTGCCTCCCCCCCCCCCAGTCACGGGTTGCTTTTTATAGACAGCTCAAGATATTTTTGTTTCAAAAATTTAGATTAGTAAAGATATAAATGCATTTATTTATATCAGTTTGCATAGTGACCTTATGCCAATATGTTGGGGTGGTTTCTTTTGGCAGTGTTAACAACCCTTACCAGTTGGGGATGAGCTGTTTAAAGACTTAAAGGAAAATGTGATGGTGGTCCATCTTAATGGCAGGGGGAAA